ATCTATCTATCTATCTATCTATCTATCTATCTATCTATCTATCTATCATACTGCCCAAGGAGCTGCTGATCCAGTTCTACAGAGGAATTATTGAGTCTATCATCTGCACCTCTACAACTATCTGGTTTGGTTCTGCAACCCAGCAGGACAGACACAGACTTCAGAGGATAATTAGGACTGAAGAAAAAACAATTACTATCCACCTGTCTTCAATCGAGGACCTGTATACTGCACAAGTCAAAAAGAGGGCTGTGAAAATATTTACAGACCCCTCACATCCCGGACTTAAGCTGTTTCAACTCCTTCCCTCAAAACAACGTTATAGAGTACTGCACACCAGAACAACAACAGTTTTATTCTGAAAGCCATCACTCTGCTAAACAAATAATTCCCTCAACACTGTCCAACTATTTACAAAGTCTGCACTTCTATTACTGTTAATCTTCTCACCACTTCTTATCACTCATCCCTTCCCACTTGCGACTGTATGACTGTAACTTTGTCACTTGTAATTCTTATGATTTATACTGACTGTTTCCTAGTATGATTTGATTGCTTATTGTACTCTATGACTATCATTAAGTGTTGTACCTTATGATTCTCGATTCTTGACGAATGTATCTTTTCTTTTATGTATACTGAGAGTAGTTACACCAAGACAAATTCCTTGTGTGTCCAATCACACTTGGCCAATAAAGTATTCTATTTTATTCTGTTCTATTTGGTCAATGCCTATGTTATCCCAATTCTCAAACTTCAACCTTTCTTTTTCCTGCAGCTGCAAGCCAGCCAGTCGGCACAAGATTCCAGCCATGGTTTTTCAACCACAGCTGTAGAAATATCATTCCTGTCAGAGAATGCTAATGATGATCAGTGTGAGAGAAGAGAAGAAATTGAGCTGGTATTAAATTATTGTTTTCTTCTTGCTGCATAAATATTAATTTTAAAAATGAATAAGAAATTACATTCTACAGCTGTAGCGTTTCTGCATTACTTGTAGCTAGATTTCTGAGTGAGGGATCTCCCTTGAACTATGCCAATGAATACTGTATTTGTTGAATCAGAATAAATCTGGAAGGGACCTTGGAGGTCTTCTAGTCCAGCCTCCTGCTCAAGCAGGACATCCTAAACCATTTCAGACAATAGTCTGTCCAGTCTCTTCTTAAAAACCTCCAGTGATGAAGCACCCACAAGGTCTGAAGGCAAGCTAAGCTGTTCCATTGGTAAATGTTCTCACTTAATTGTTAGAATGTTTCTCCTCAATTCCAGGTTGCTTCTGTCCTTCATTAGTTTCCACCCATTGTTTCTTGTCTGCCCTCTAATGCTTTGGTTGACCCCCTCTTCTTTGTGGAAGCCTCTCAAATACTGGAATACTGCTATCATGTCCCCCCCAGTCCTTTTCTCTACCGGTAGATTAGCTAAATATAAATCCTTCAACCGTTCTTCAGAATGCACCCAAACTTGATGCTTCACTCTAGAGAAGAAAGATATGTAGTTGAGGTTGAAAGCATTAAGGAATTGAAAGAACATACAAAAAAGAAAATTCTTAAAGGGATTGAACAATGATCCTCAAAATGAGCAAACTGATGATCCAGGTCTGTGTAGTAACAGATCTATTCATTCTGCTTCCGAAAATGCTCTAATCTCCATTTTGTTTTAAATTGTCATAGACTGAAAC